AATCTGGAAGATTATAAAAGTTTGTATTGTTAATCGATCCTTTCTAAAGCCTATCCATTAAAAACTCATCACCTATAACACAAAATGTAATACTCTAAGTAGTAATTCTAAGTAGACATTGTCAGCTTGTATGATAATAATTATGCTGGAATCTGGTATAGATGATTTTAATACTATATCAAGCAATTAATTAAGACATATTGAATATCTCCTATGGACCAATTATTACCATAAGTATATTGTGTTACCCGTACCTTAGAATGATATCTATCAGGTTGTTAGCTAATATATTACAATACCAGTATATGATACCTACATCATGACTAGAAGTCGTGATACCCACTTCTTATTGTCGTCTTCATTATTAATAGTTTTATCCCAAGGTAAATTATTAAATAATTTTATTGTCTGATATCTAGTATTATGTGTAACTATTGTGAATTTGAGTAATATTTGGAACTGCAGATCTTTTCTTCTAATACTTTCACGGATGAATATTTCTTCGTCAGTCTCTGAGTTAAGTTTTTCATCAAATTACAATTAGTCACTAAAATATACAAGGCAGTTTTAAAATTCTTAATTTTTTGTAGTAATTTTTTAATGAAAATGCGGGTTATTGTCCTAATTGTCATTTTTTGAATCACGACAGAATTTACATTACAATGGAAACTATTACCTACCAGTAACCATTATTTTATTCGAAAGTGAAATGTAAGACTACGTTTGCATAGTGCGTAGGCATACTAAACTGCATGTATCAGTACAATTATGATCTCAATAAATCAATATGTGCCACAAATATTTACAAAGAAAACACAATGTTTACAGCTCCGCATGATACAAACAGAGGCGCCTCTCTGAATATGTACATACGGTAATTACTTACGTACTCATACGTACAATGCTTGATATTGTATCTAATTATAGCATCCAAGACTGGAGGGGTTTATTAAAATAAAACACATTGAAAGCTTCCAAAGACAATGCATGAGTATTTAAGAGGAATGTAAGTCTAAAAATAAATTTGAAGTGCGCCCTTAACTAGTCGCGTTTTGAGTTCCTCGCTTGTACGGTTGTACAATCTTGGGTCAATGCCAAATGCGAAACATGGCCGTTGAGAGGGGAGAATTTTAAGAAAAAAAAAACAAATATTTTTTGTAGGTGTTTTCTGGTAATATATTGCAGCTCTACTGCGGCTAGAAATGTGGTTGATTTTTTAGAATTAGTGATAGAAAGTGGCTATAGAATAGACAGTTATGTAGGTATATCATGGTTTCCGGCGTTGCTTGCGCTAGTCCTAAATTCATATTAGTTATATATACACAGTTTAAAAAAAAATATTACATTTTCAAACCTTTTGTTAAAACATTATGTTTCATGTACGATTAGTATTATAAATATAAGTGTATCAGTAGTATTATATAGTATTCTAGTATAATATTATTTAAAATATTAAACTTAAATAATTATTTTAAGATTTTATTAGTAATAATAATAATAAATTCTTTATTGTGCACATAGAAGAAATACAATAAGAAAAAAAAAACAATAAACAGAAAATTATGAACAAAAGGCAGTCTTATCGCTATAAGCAATTTTATACAGACAACCTGCAAGATAGGACTAACATACACGGAAGAGGTAGATGGCACACACAAGACACTATAATTATCATATATACATATATATATATATATATATATATATATATATATATATTTATAAATAAATATACATACATATATACAACATATTGGAAGATTTATTACTAGATATGTGAATATAATAAAGTTAAGAATTTTAGCAGAGAAAAAATGTATCATCACAAAAATATACGACATTTTTTTCTTATCGATTTTGATTCGAGAAGGATTACTTGGGAAGCGATTTTGTCACTTTTGCGAATTTTTAAATACTTTTTAAGTGCAATAAAGTCCTGATTTTTAAATTATATTATGTCACAATAGTTGGCATATGTTATGCGAAACTACTTGAACTCTCCGGTCTAAGAAACCGAGTGTAAAATAGAGGCCTTTGTTAATTGGATTTTCGCCAATAAATTTGCTAGTGCAGCTGGAAATTATACACAATGTTTACGGAAATATACGGCCTTAACCGTCTCTACGTAGCTACCCTTTCTTTTTTTAGTACTTTTATTAATACGGGCCTACTTTATATTACTTAGAAGTATTAGTATTCGTAATAGGATATATTCCTATTTTTAATTAAAATATTTACACATATAAAGGCACTTAAGTTAAAATTAATTGATTTTATAAAATCTTTCGGCAAGATGTGCTCATACTCATGGATTCGAGGCGAAACGAAAATGTGCCAACCAACATTTATGTGACATAGATTGATGGCGTGCTAACCGTGTCTTCATCAAGTTCAGTTCTCATTATATCGTGAGTGCCACCCCTTAAACGGGATGCATGTTAACCGCAGCGAAACAGATGCTCACCGTTTGGTACAAGTGGGTTTAATTTGTTTATAGCTTCTAAAAAATAATTTACTCCAATTATTTCTTTTAAATTTTAAGCAATATGAATTAGTAATATTGTATATACTAATTCAAGATGTCTGAACATGGTAAATACGTTTCCATTATCTGATCATAATTATTTAATAGTATCTCAAGGATCTTGTCTAGTACATATAATATATCCAACTTTTGTTTTTTCTTGAAATACAGTAAGCACTATTTTAGTATTTTACTTTATTATTCTTTTGTGAAATCCGTTCAATTGCTAAAATACCTGTCTTTATATCCATTATATTTCATATTGATAAATTAGTGAAAATGGTTCGTTATTTATTTTAAAACTTTTTATGAATATATCGAGAAATGTAAAGCAATTGTTGTTTACATATTTTAGTAATGAAAAAAATACTGATGTTAATAATAAAAAAATAGAACTAAAATACAGACTGTTTGCCACTTATTACTTATTGATTACAAATATTTTCGTTTGTATATTAATCTATAATGATAACCTTAGTTATAATATCCTATACTATACCAAAAATATGAAGCGAATTAGAATTATCTCTTTTTGAAATCGGTAGTAAATCGATGGTATCGTTATTGAATCATATTATATGGGGCAATAATCTCCGAGGTCATGAGGTTACACGAGTAGCTCATCTGAAAGTATAATTTGCCGGCTATTAGTACGGAATAATATTTCAGGAAATCAGCAAATTTCCCTAAATATATTTGTTAATCCTTGGCAACTAATTCCAGCTTTATCGAAAATTTGAGGATGGAAGAATTTTGGAACGCATAACTTAATTAAATTAGGAACTTAGTGACAATAGACTGATGAAGGTTTATGTCCAGATGTGGATATGGCAGATAGATTAGTATTGTTAAAATATGTAACTTAATGTGTATAAATGTTTAGAATAAATATAATAAATAAATAGTGTAAATATAATAAATAGCGTAATGTAATTAAGTTTCTTAATAGTCAGCAATGCAAACGTGACATCAATAGTGTTTCAGACATACGCTACGGCCTCAATTTACTATAAAGTTAAACATATCATTTATGGTCACTACTTTGGTATAAAATAAAAGTAATTTAAAAAATCATTTCAATTCTTCGGTCAATTCGGTGGTCTACTTCTTTAATTATCTCTTTTACTTTTGATGATCGCGTGTACGATCTCTACATAAAACAAACATTTCTATGTCAGTTTGTATTATTTTAAACATTTTTCTATGTATTTCATACAATACAAATTTATTATTTCTCTGAACCACATAATATAAGATCGAAATTAGATGTCATTAAGATCAAGAAGTTTAGTTGTAAAATATAGGGAATCGTCTGAATTTTATTCATCTTCAATATTTTTATTACTAATAGTACAGATAAGATAATATTAGATATATTATTCTCTAAATTGTATACAATAATTAAGATTTTTTGTTGGAATAAATTGATGTAATATACTACTTTATTCGGACATATTGGCCAAGCAAAATAAATAATCAATTACAAAAAATGACAATAATTAACAACCATTAATAAACAATATTTCACGGTTCAGAATTAACAAAGATATAATTGCATTTCTTGAATATCGCCCACGCTCGCATCTATGACTTGCAACTTTTACCACAAAACAGTATGACTGCCACGTGCGGCCTATTACGCCTCTCGTCGACTATGAAATACGAGCTTATTCTGTACTATAAATAGAGGACACCCTTAATGACCCGTTGTTCAAGTATACATTAAGTAGGTATACGGATTACCTCTAGGTGTTGTAAATATTTTTATCCTAAGAACTTTATTATCTACCGCGCGAGTGTTGCTTCAAGTTTAGAGTATATGATGTCTTATAACATAAACACGCTAAGATTTAGTGACTGGGTTTATATTGTAATTAAAATTAAATTATGGGCTATAAACAATAGACAGATGTTGGGTATGTGATTATTGTAATGGCTTTCCGAATTTATGGTTGTTATTTAATAATTAGGTTCATATAATATGTAATTTGTATTATATTGGATTAGTAATTGATATATTGCATGTAATTATAATTTACAAGACAATAAGCTTACGATATATTTACAACGTTTTATTATTACTTAAAGTTAGGTATTCTCAAGTTATATTTGAGAGAAAGTATTATTAAAACAGAATACTTCTACAAAACTTTGTTTGTCGATACAGAATTTGTAATAGAAAAGCCATCCATACTAATAATAATAACCACGAAAGTATGTCTGCGTATTTGTTAACTTATTACGAATAAATGGATCTTAATTAAATTAGTTGTGAATATAGATTGTATCTGGAGAGCTATCATAGGCTATATTTTATGTAAAAAAAAAGCAGACAAAGTCATGAATAGCAGTATACTATAACACTAAATCCTAGAAACTATATGGCTATTTTCTAATTTCTGTCCAGTAAAATCACTATGTTCCGGATAAACAAAGTTAATTTTTGTGTAACATTGGTCTGTTACTTTTTTCTCAGAACTCCTCCTTGGGACACTCCGAACACACCAAAAAGCTGCCTGTGATGAGGAGATGGTGACCCTCATTTGTCCCAGGGGGACGACAATTAACATACAAGTCGCACAGTACAGCGCATCGGTAACACAGAGTTCCTGTGCATCAGAGTTAGCACAATACCAACCTGTCGCCGTGGAAGTGGTGGGGGACTCGTCATGCACATGGCCTGGTGCTTTACAGGTTCGTCATTCTTTTTTTTTATATAACATATTGGGGAAACAAGGCAACGGTCCACCTGTTTTGATGTATACCTGTCTGTATACAATATTAGCGCCGTAAATATCACGGTCTCGTGTAACTCCCATGAAACCGCTCATGTGTTTCCATACAGATTAAGGTGTCATGACTTCATAGTTTTTTATTTAAAAATATCGTTTAATTGGGGTAAAATGAAAACTGCTATTTATGTTTATGTATTGCATACAATGACCAGAGGACACGCTACTTTTTTAAAAGTTCATTACGGTTAATAGTATATATATTATGTATATGAATCCTACATCCATAATGATGAACATAGGTGATAGAATATTTTAAAACGTGTTAGAAATCTGTATGTAAACTTTGATAATGTAACCCAACGTGTTAAAAAATACCAAAAAGAATTCCTTTTAAAGCGTACGCTGTGGAAATTATTGATAATAGAGCAAAGTAATGTACTAGTGTTTTATAGGGACATCAATATCAAAGTGTATATAATGTACATATATTTATGTGAGGGTGTGTTGTTGTTGTGTATTAAAATATATAACTTTAAAATTTAAGTTTAGGTTTACCCGTGTGTGGCCGGGGTGGGCCGCTAGTTACTAATAATACATTTATTTATTTTTGGCAAACATATAACACTTTGCATTTTTATAATTGTCGAAAATGGGAAAAAAATATCAGCGTTAATAATCTTTCAATTCCAGTTACATATTATAGTTTCACAGTATTAATAAAACGATCTGTAATACTTCGAAATGAAATAACTCTTTGGAATATAACAAGATTAACTATAAACTATCGGAGTAATGTTCACGATCATGTTTCGTTGGTAAGCTCAAGTCATTTCTCTTGGGGTTGGCTTTTATGATTCATTTTCTGATATGTTTGGGCAATAAGGAACTTTTATGGCCAGCTGTCGATGTTTATGTTACCCTTCTAATCTCCTCAACCCACTGCATGGTATTTGTGGCGTTTCTCAAGTGTTACCGTTTAATTTAAAATTTTATATTTTGTAAGGAAGATTCAAGATGGTAGATTCAACAAATATTTTTGTTAATGAGAGTTGCGAGTGCAGTGCCTAACTTACTACTACAGCTTAGACACAAAGCGTGTGTGTTCAAATCTTACGATAATAGATTTTTTTGTCTATTTATGTTTATGTCTAACTCTATGGTAATAGAAACACAAATAACGATTTAAATTATTTCGAAAAACGGCGGTACTTGCCTCTTTCCATGGTATATTCAAAATATATCCAGCGGAATTATAGTTTATAATGTCCCTGACTACCACATCTAAGTAGCAAGCGTAAAGGTACATAAATTTGAACATCTAATCATAATAAATAATTTTGCAAATAAAATGTATTCATTTTTTTATGAATTTACAACGATTCCAAATTTAAACCCTTTTAGTCAAAAAGTAACACATGTTATGGGCCTAGTAATTTCGGAGAAATTGGCGTAGGTATACACATAAAAACCTTTTGAAGTCGGTTAGTTAGAAGACATGATTATTTTACGTTTACTGCTAAATAGAACACTGTTTACATTTCACGTTCTAATAAATTAAGAAGTTAGGTACATGCAAATTAAACAAATAATATAATTTTGGTCTGATCATTATGTCTTTATTATTTTTAAAACTTGTGTTCGTTTTGATGTAATATATACAACTTAGTGTAGTGACGTGTAGCCACACATATAGCTTACGCTTTTTGTACAAACGAGTACATAATATATATACATATGGCTGCAAATGTTTCTACCGTCCGAGGAATCGAACCCGTGACTACCAGATGTTAGACGGTGTGCGCGATTATTCTATTGAATTCGTCCGGAAGAATTCTTCAATTTGAACAGAGCATGGCGAGTCAAGACGCTTCAGTCAATGCATCAAACATCCTGAAGACTTCTTGATATAGTCAAAGTAATTGTCACAAAAGACTAAGACATAAACAATAACAAGAAATTCATTAAACTCCTATTATATATAGTTATAAAAAAGTGTATTTTTTATATTCATATTTTCAAAGCAAATTACTCTTGTTTATTCAAACAACAAAGCCGGATTAGAATTGGCATACTAACTAATTTGCGTAGTATTCCTTGTTACAGACAGTAGTCGAAGCGTGCCAGAAGAAACGCCAATGCAAATTCCATACGAGCCCGAAAGCGTTTGGCATGGACCCCTGCCCTAGATCTAGGAGGTTTGTGGAAGTCGCCTACAAGTGCCGTCCATGTGAGTATTATTAGAAGTTTAATAAATATTACTTTGTGGGAAACAATTATTTAAGTGTTTATTCATATATTTAGATCCAATCCATTTTGTTGTTATTTAATCGAATTAGGTGTTATTTTGTTGAAGTCCATTTCACTACTCGATGGATATATATTATTTTGTTTAATTCCGCTACAATGAACATGTGTGAGACTACGAATATTCGGTGTGGAAACCCGACCAGCGCTACGACCTTCTCCAGTGGCATTTTGTTATTGTTCTTTTGAAACCCAATGTAGTGTAAATCGAATAAATAATTAATAATGGCAGTTAGACAGGGGGAAGAGGATTGTTTAAAATGTAGACAAATGAATGTACCATGGGAGCTCAAAGTTCACGCGGTTCCCCACGGAGACCGGCTTAATAAATTCCTGCTGAATTTGTCACGATGCGCAAACTAACCTGATATCATGTTCATCATATCATCCCCCACCAGCCCCGGTGTCCGGTGCCCTGCCATCGTAAACCGTTTAGCGGCGTGCAACATTCCATTATCATCAATTAAAAATTGACAATTAGTTCTTTCATTGCTCACGAAATATAGAATTAAAATACATTGTTAGATCTACCTGAAGAGTCTATAAGATTTGAAGCATCGCAAGTTAGTGTCATTGAATTAGAATCACATCACCATATATATTACATCATCGTTTAATATCCGTGGTACCCTTCATGCGTTATCATTTCTTCTAAGACTAAGCTGTCTTGCTTCCTTTATAATTTTAATACCTTTTTTCAAACCAAAATGTAGCTTACAAAGCAATTGGTGATTAAACTATAAGTAGGTGAGAAAGAGGTACTCACGCAGACCTCTTTATCCAAAATCAACCTCGATAAAAACATATTATTAGCTACCAGTAGCTTTCAGGTTTTACCAATAGAGCAACTTTATCGTTAACGCATATAGTACTCTTTATGAAAGCATTAAGTACCAAATACAATGTAGGTACATAACTAAAAGTCTTATCGCAGCGTTGGCATTCCATAAATACCTTTATGCGAAACTATGTAAAGCTGTTTATTCCTTGAATTTCATATTATATTTAGCACGCCTCTTAGCAGATTGCTAGATTCCTATAGACATGAAATTTTAGTGTCCTCTTACATTCGATGTTTAATTTTATTTACACTAAATCTGTGGCTTTAGTGTAAATAAAATTATGGTTATGCATGGACTAAGCAGTCAACAAAAGCAATAATATATCGAACATGAAATATAAAATAACACACGATATTTATGAAATAGGATGATTTGTCATATTAATAAGATTGTATAAATTAATTTTCTTTTACATCGTCCCTTGCGTATTAATCTTGGTACATTTAAAAAACTAATAAAACCCTTACAGTTTTCATTTATTTTATTAAATATCATGGTTTATATCATATATCTGTATGCTTAATACTACATATATAATACATAAAACAGAATATAATAATTGTACATGGGTCATGTATTATAATCTAGCAATCAATACTAAGAATTTGGCGTAATTTCTAGTACCTAATAGTCTTTTATGAGATTAATAATTATAGTATCAAAATTAACGACTACCTATCACAATATTATGTTTGTAATTTAAAGCGACACTATTAAATATAGAGTGTTAGACACATTTACGCGTTAAATGGAAATTACGCAAGGCCGTACCTCTGGAAAATAACACTAGTAATTTTTAACGTAAACAGACGAGTTCCGGAGTAAAGTGGGCTGTGAGAACGACGTACTCCACCTCAGCTGTAACCCCCACTCGAGGGTAGCGATATATTCAGCGCAGTACGGCCGCACCGAGTACTCCATACAGTGCCCCCAACCTCGAGGAATGAAGGAGGAAAGTGAGTGCTTTTTAGTATTCTTAAAATATTCACAATGTTATTTATGTTTACAGGTGTGTATGGAAGTGGAGACGGTTTTGTAACATTTTGTTGACCGTAATGTTATAATTGCAATTTCAGTTAAAATTAGGATTTTCATAATGAAACGAATACTGTAAACTGAAAATAATGTTTGTTTGTAATGTACTTACTCAAAAAATACTTCCTATTATAGAAATTCTTCTTACTTACCACCCAATAAATAATATGAACTCCATTTTAAATGTAATACAAGCGACTCGTCCAACCTTCTCTTTCTATGCACATTACTGAAATTTTAGTAGGGATCCCTATTTTTTTTTTAGTAATAAATATAGCCTATGGTACTTAGAGATAATGCAGTATTCTAATAGTGAAAGTGAATTTTTAAAGTAGCAAATTTTTTTATTATTGTTTGTTATAAAAATACATTTATTTTCTTTTTTTAATAAGACTGTAACAAATACTGATTAACGTTAATTAATATCAAGTTAATATTATGAAATTAGGAGCGTTACTCGCTCCTACGATGATACGATGTGATACGCCAATATTGTGTTTTAAATATTGGTTTCCGCTTCCGGCACCTGTTGCCGGAAATTGGGTAGTAGAACGCAAGATGGCGATTCAATATATCGCTCCGCAGGGATGATCATTATTGAATTCACCACCAATTGATTTGGGCTACGGAATATTTTATATATTAACATTTATATTGCCAAAAATAAATGTAATTAGCGAAGTCCTTTTAATTAAAATTAATTAACGCAATTAAAACTTTCTTTTAATGAAGATTATATAAAAATTGTAAATTGATAAATTGAGAATCCTGATGAAAATTAGATTAAAAAATACATTTGTCTTTAGTTTTATATTGTACTTATATTACATCTTATCAAGGTCATTAGTCTCTTAGTTACTAGAAAATACAATAGTTGAATTAACTCTTTACCTTATTTATAACACAGTAAACATAAAAAAATATCTATAGATATATCAGACTTTTTTGTTATCAATAACGGAATGGTGAGCCCAACTACGTTAATAGTTCACGCTGACGGACACCAATGGAAGATAAAAGGATGAGGATTAAATGAGGTCACTTAGTTCATCGTGGCGAATTGACCAGGAATTAATTTACAGAGGGGTTAGTGTAAAATGCACCTAACATATTATATTGATAACTCTATGTATACTGAATAGTGCACACCACTACATTTTCCACACTCATTTTAAATTTTAAAAGGCCGACAACGTACTTGCTATTCCCCTGGTATTGCGGATGCTCATGGACGGCGGTAATCACTTACTATCTGGTGAGCTGCATGCTCGTTTGTCTCCTGTGTTATATAAAAAAATAGTTTATAAAAAAAAATAGTTTTATATCTAATAAATGAGTGATTTAAAAAATATTAAACTATAAACGATACAAATCTAATTGTATTTTTCCATATATTTCTTACATAATTAGGTACTATATCTTATTATCAAAAGATAGTTATATAGCTGATTAAAAAAAGTGTTATTGAAAATATATATGATGAATTCTCTAAAAAAATAATTAAGCCTATAAACTATATTTTTCGATTTTCTAAAGAAATTATTAAGTATATTATAAACCATATTTTAACTTAAATTTTGATTATTTTTTCATAAATATAGTCCTATTAATATGATTAAATTTCACAAATTTCTAGTTCAGAACGAGATAGTTTATTAGACAACGCGTAGGCAGAAGATATTATATAATTAAACATTTATATGTCAAAATTGCTTACTTGCTCCACAATATGTAGATACATTAATTCAATTCTCTCGTGAAATATGTTCTTGTAAATTTAATTATAGTTAATTTTCTTGATTGTAGACAATAATAATTATACACGACATAATGTTCTGAACATATAATTTACAGTTGGAAGAAAATATGAATGTACATATGTACATATTATATATATATATAATAAATATGCTTGTTTCATATTTAATCATTTTTGCTTTAATGAATTCAATCAAATACTTATTTATTTTCTGAATTTAAGTTCAAGTGTTTATGTGGCGAAACGTTTAAATTTGAATAATATTTAACTTTAGAATAGCATAGTAATTAACGACGAGTTTATTTTTAAGATTAGGATACAAAGCCATAATTGTTATTAAATATGGACAGTATCGTTAGGACATTAGGGTTTTCAGACACACCATGCCATTTGCATGTCCAATTAAATTAATAAAAGAAACCATTACAGCAATAATAATTTAACGGCCTCGGTTGTTTAGCGGTTTAGCACATCGCCTTACTTCTAATGGTCGCGGGTTCGATTCCTCTCACGACGCAAACATTTGTATTCATGAGTAATTATTATCTATTTTTATTTTCATATTTGTATCGGTCTTGGTGTTTTCTATGTATAATATGATACATATAATACATACGTATTTACGAAAAAATATATCTATATATTTGTGTCAGTTATCCAGTACCCATAACATAAGTTTTAGGTAGGTTAACTTGGATCTAGATGGCGCTGTGAATTGTCCTGAGATATTATATTAATAATATTTCATAACGTAGTGATTCGTACCGTAATCCAAACGGTATGAGGGTATATTATTATTATTGCTATACGGTGATATACGCACATAGTTTTAGCCTCGAGTGTACATTGTCGTGATACAAAAGAAGCACAGATATGTTACAATATAAGGACGTCATATTGTTTTTGTACTGTAAATAAATGGAACGGCACAAGCCTGCGGCCCACTTGATGGTAAGTGGTATCCGTCGCTTATATACATCATATTTATATACATACTCGTACATGAACAGTATTACGGCATCAACGTGATACCGTAATACCGCAATCATATAACATTGAAAGCATGAAATAAATAATAATAATAATGAATATGACGCTTGTAATACCACACATGTGTTGCAAACGGGAAAACTAAGATGTCATGTTCGTACCTCTTCTATAACTTTCCCATTACAAAGTAAAACGTTAGGCAGTTAAAATAGATAAGACTGAGGTACACACGTAGACGATTTTTTTCAAGGTATTTACCTCTCTCGACGTTTCGACTAGGTTGCACTAGCCGTGGTCACTTTATTTGCCATAAAAAAATATTCGTGTTAAGACCCGGTTAATAATTTAAATAATGTATATTAAACACGAAAGTTAAAAAAAAAAAAATTAACGATTTTTTTCAAATTCTATCATTTCCTTGCGGAACTCCATAAACATAAATATTCCCATCACTTAATTATGTTTCAGTGACAAATAAACATATTAGCCACCATGGAATAATCCATAATAAATTACGAGTAAGTCTTAATTTTATTTGGATGTCTACTTTATGGGAAAAACCATGGAATGATGGATTAATGTTTATTCCATTACAATGTACATTGTATAATATTGAAAATAAATTTATTCCAAGGGGACTTAATTTATCTGAAAGGTTTTTCTTTTTGTGAATGGATTTCCTTGTACTTGAATTGTTCCTGGTCGAAAACATATTTTTTTAATTTTACATTCTATATTTATATTTGTACACTATTTAAGTTTACTAGGAAACCATTAGATCGTGAATACGAATCTGGCGGACATAAAAAAACATTTGTATTTCTATTTGACTTTTGTAGTTAGATTAGTGATGATAACACTGCTAATAATTCAGATATACCTAGTGAAATATAAGTATGTTGAACTTGGCATTCACCAACTTGGTGTGTATTGTTTTTTTTTAGTACATTATAAATAATAATATCAATATATAATCAAGTCTGAGTTTAATGATTTAAATAATTAAAAAATTACGTAACAACTTAAAGTAAATGTCATGATCCTACTAGTAATATTGCATCGAACTTGATATTTTTCATTGAACTTACAACCCGAGTTACGAAACTTGTAATAAAAGGCAATCACGGTAAAAGTTTGCAACTTTCGTCTTTTCTAATTCATGTGATTAAGAAAGCTTGTAAGTGGCCTTAAATAAAGTTTCAGGAAAAACGTTATCAAGTCACGTGTGCAAGTTTATGAATAAGTGATTATTTTTGTTTCGTCTTCAGTGGACACTCACAAAAAGCATTTCCCAAATATATTTTGTATTGTGTTATTGTTTCCTGGTAATAAAATAATTTTACGTTAAATAAATTTATATTGTTTTGTTTAATTCCGCCAAAATACCAAGATAAATAGAGAAACACTAGGTTTTCAAAGTAACTTTATTTTCTAGGCGTTATATACCCATATGGAATTAATATAAACTATACGTTCAACAACATTTATTATTACGGATTTTAATACATATATTTTTATGGCAAATAAAGGACCCTCTCTCGACGTTTCGACCAGATCGTACTAGTCGTGGTCACGAGCTGTATCCGCTATATTAATAATGTATACCAAACACGGAAGTTTAAAAAGTGGATATAAAAACAATTTTCAAACAATTTACAAAAAAAAAGTATGACAATGAGTATCCACTTTATATACGACACGAAATTTCGGCGACATATAGTGTCCACTATAACCAATTTCCAAGCATATCACCCACAACAAACATTGTAGTACGAAATAGGTAACGTGATTGAACTGCCGCGTGAAACCATAACGTAACAGTATAATAATTTTCTATTCAAAGGAAACCACTCGTCCCTGAAAAAATGGGTGAAATGTTTGCCCATATTACATAAATATCCGCTATTGAATTTCACCAAATTGTTGTCCATTCAGTGTTTTCATCCGACAAATCTACGCAATTTCCGAGGCGAAGAGTCACTCATTTAATTTTGATATGCAAAACAACCTATTAAGACTTGTTTATTGAACAAATTCGCTTTGAATTCGTGCTCTATCGTGGAGTAACAGTTAGTGCTAGAAAGATGTTGCTATAAATAAGAACTATTTTGAGAACTTAACTCTATTCTTACATTTTTTATAGAATAAATATTTAATGGTGCACCCGCATGT